CTTCATTAATTTTATATAATTCATAAATCTATTCATCCTATTCATCATCTCTAATCTCCTTCAAAACATTAATAGTAAAAATACGCTCCCTTCCTTTTTTATTACTTAACTTATCTTTCCCTCTTGTTAATCAATTTCAAACTTTTTAATTACATTTACCAAATCAACCTTTAAACTAAATCTTGAGGTTTTTGATAGATAAACTTAAGGTGTAGTCTCTACCAAAAAATATGTATTAAATATCAAATTCTACATTCCAGGCAACATTAGATATAACATTATAGCTGACTAATGGACTAAAGACGACTTGGTTGCAGTGAGAGGTGATAAAACGTCCAAATTTTCAGTTTTTGAAAATTTGATTGATTTTAAAGAATACAAAAAAAATGCGGGATTTATAATATAGTGCCACCAACCAGAATGAATTTATAAAATAAAACCTCCTACTAAATTTGTTGAAATTGTGAAATTTAAGAAGGAAGCTTTATTTTGAGTTATGTTTATTTATAAAATTTCATATTTTTTATTATCACAAAACCCTGAGTCTAATTAATATTCATAGGGTGATGTAGTGAGTAAATGTTAAGTTATTATTATCAATCTAAGTACTCTAATAATACAAATCAAAAGATATTAGACATTTATAACTACAATAATATTTCCATATTCCTTTTGGAAATAGTTCGTAATCACAATTTGAAACTTACCATTCTTCATTTAAATGTATATAATTGCGAATAGGATATATGCAATTGATATAATGAGCTCTTAATAGTAGAGTTGAGATCTATTCCGATTATAAAAGAAACAGAGCTAAATTTCTCTACTAGATTTTTAAATTCCTTCTTTGAAGATGTAGTGAGATGTATATTAACTAAAAAAACTTTTTAAGATACACTTACCCAAATAAGAAGTTATAAAATATTTTGACCTGGATTTCTACTGGAGAGGTGACAATCTATATCTGAGGGGTCATACTAGATTTTGCACATAAACATAAAATGTCTAACAAAAATATTATTATCATATTCCCCAAAATGACTTGAAAACCTATATCTGAAGGGTCATACTAGATTTTGGACATAAATTGAGAAAATGTCTTGCAAAAATAGTATTTGTTGGTCATGGGGGAGCTCTATTATTATAATAATATAAATTGATAATAAACAATTACCCTCTTTAATAATATACCTGAGTATCTCCACTAATTATCATACTCTATTATTTTCTTCATATATATACTATATAAAATAATAGTTTGTTAGTCTTGATAGAAACTTAATTTGCAAATCGTCCCAATCTAAGCATACTCATGTTGTCCTCATTCTTCTATTTATTTTAAAATTATAAACTCTTACCCTAGTCATATTATACCACATGTATATTGTTGGTCCAAAATACAATCACAAAATTTGTATATTACCTTTTGATCAATGATATTTATTTGATGGTCATATTTAATTAACTACAATCTTTTAAACTATCTAGTCTTCATTGACAAGCTTAATTCTAAAAAAATAATTTCTAATTTATTATATATTAATTATATTTAATTTGAGCTCTTTGACCGACTTTATAGTTAGCCAATCATCTTAACAGAATTATGTCCTTTATTAAATAAGCTTATTTCGCCTAAAGTCTCAGCAACAGATATTTGATAGCCTATTTATATTGATATATAGTATAAAATCAGAAATATTACAATTCTTCATTAAAAGAAAAATACTCAAATTATGAAAAAAAACTGAATTATGCCTCTTGAATAAAGGAATAAAGACATCCTCATTAACCAATTAGACCTCACTCATTGAAGAGAGCCCCAAAAAATAAAGATTAAATTAAGTATAACAAATCATCAAATGCTTGACTTAAACCTTGATATTTAACCAGGTTTGAATATCCTAACTTTTATTAATTATTTTAAAAAAAAATTTGGATACATCTCAAAAATGA